CAAAAACAAAGTTCTTAGAAAACAAGATTACTGCTCTATGTATGAAATATTTAGCACAGTATAAATATTTAAGAAAAATGAATTATTTCACTGTTTAATAGTATTAAACAGGCCTCAACTCCCAAAAATTATATTAAAAATCTGTGTAGTTTTTAAATTAATAAAACAGAGCACTAATAATGCAAACCACTCTGTGGTTATTTGTTTCTCCTTATGATACAAGAGATGGAAACTGTATGCTTGTGCATGCTAAGCACAAGTGGTTACAAATCCAGGCCTATTAAGAACTCTAATAACAGAGTATCAACACAAGGACATTTACTAGTATTTTAAATAATTTAATTCCAAACATTTAATGTTTAAATTATCCTTTCAGTCATAATCACAATAATCTTCATGGACTTGGCTTTACTATCCTCAGACTTGGGGCATAGTTTATAAACTCCAAAATGAAAAGCAAAATGTTTCATTAATTAAATCACAAATAAACTATACTTCAGGCAAATGATAATAGTAAGCCATTTTTTTGTCTTTAAAATAATGAGATAAAAATGAAACAAGGACAGGCCTATTTGTAATAGACTCCTTGTCTTTGTAAAAGTATATCTAAAATATAGCTGGAAAGTTTGTGATTTTATAAAAACTCTCCCTATTTTTAACAAATGACTACAATAACTTTATCCCATTATAATTCAATGAATGTCACTTAAAGAAAAGTCAACAAAAAGGAGTGATTTGCTAATGCCAGAGAGCAGTAATATAAGATCATTATTTAGCTGTAGTTCCACTACATGGTGACAAGCCTGAATTAATAAAGGTTTCATTATGCCCAAAGTATAGAGCAACAGAACCATCAAGATTTTTATATTAACGAAAGTGTTCTTTCTCAAGTCATTACCTACAGAATTGTCATAACATCTGTACCATCATTAGCAATTCATAAGGTAAAATGGGCAAGGCCTCACCTATACAAAAGGGGAAACACATCTAGGTGTATCTTTTCTTTCTCGCAAATGGCAAGAGTCTATATTGTTCATTTCAGTAAATCCTAAACTTAGATTTAATAAATCTTAAAATTTCACATGCAGTCAAATTTTTAGTTGATATTCTGAGCAATATATTACTAAATTTGGGCTAAACCAAGTAGACCAGTCATTCAGGCTTGAAGAAAGGCAAAAATTTTACATCCATACTATTAAAAAAACAAAACGAAACCATAGAACAATAAAGGAAATGTCACTGATTTCCCAGACAAGAAAAAGAACAGTCAGGTGTGGCTGGGTATGTTTATAATTTCGTACTTGGGAGGCTGAGGCAGGAGGAGTGTATGAGCTGGAGTCAGCCTCGGCTACAGTGAGACAGTAGCTCAAAAAATGTTTAGAGTGATTCAAATCACCAATCCTGGCAATATTTTCAGAGTCAACTATTCCACGTATCAAGCTCTCATCATTTAATTTCAAGTCTCCACTCAACAGCAGATTTTGTTGTTCACCAGGAGTGGTGGAGCTCATCTATATTCCCAGATGCTCAAAAGGCTAACAAAGGAGGACTGTCTAAGCTCAGTTCAAGGCAAGGCCTAGGAGTTAGAGCAAGACTCTGTTTTGGAAAAAAGAAACAGATAGACTAAGAGACAGAAAGACAAGGAGAGAGGGAGAAAGGGAGATTGCATCTCACCGTAACATCATCTCCTACCTGGTTATGTCATACACACGGTCTGCAATCTGACTTCCAACCTGAAAGATTTCAAGAGTCAACGTATTAAACACACGGAGTAGGTTTAACAGATGAGTAACATTCTTTTTTCCTACAATTCAACTTGCTTCAAAAATGTTAGTACTATGTGTCCTATTTTCTGTTTTCTCACAGAAACTTCCTTTATAAATATGGAATATGAATAAAATATTATAAAACATAACAAAATATCCCTGGAAACAAACTGAAGCAAATTACTTTCTAGTCAATTTAACAAAATCAAGATTAAATCTACCGGGTATGGCAGCTGATGTCTATCGTCCTAGCACTCAGGAGACTGAGGCAGAAGGATTGCTGTAAGTCTGAGGCCAGTCTGGAATACTCAGTGACACAGTGAGTTCCAAGCTAGTATATATTATAAAGACCTTTGTCTCAAAAGCAACATAAACACAGGGAGGCTGAGGCTGGTGATCACTTGAATTGGAAGACAGACTGGCATATACTACTACATAGTGAATTCCAGGACAGTCAGGTACAGTGAGATCTTTCCTCAACACAAACAAAATAAAAACCCACTTTAAACAATCTTAAAAAATACATACTTGGCCTTCATATTCTATGTGATACAAGATAAGAATAAAAATAAAAGAAACATTGTCCTGAATTGGCTTTTGTCAACCCAACACAAACTCAGGCATATTTGGAAGAGGGAATCTTTTTTTTTTTTTTTTTTGGTTTTTCAAGACAGGGTTTCTCTGTTTAACAGCAATGGCTGTCCTAGAACTTGCTTTGTAGACCTGGCTGGCCTCAAAAGCACAGGTAGCTGCCTGCCTCTGTGTTGTACCCTTCCCCCATGGGGGTCTGTTGACTGCTTGTTACTAGGAGCTTTTAGCAAAAACACTTCTCAGCCCTCTTCCCAGTAAGGCCTGCATGCAAGTTCCTGTTTATTGTCTAAATGCTAATTCCTGTTTTTGGCCCACCCCTTTGCTGGAGGTGTGTTTTTCCACCATACCTGACTTTGTATATAAGGCTCTACCCTTGTAATAATAAATGCCATTCTCCTTGTAAGAATGAGCCACTGTCTTAGTCTTTATTTTTATCCTTAGTCCTTAGCCTCGGATCGTTGTGAAGTATGGTAGCACCGTAGCTGCTAACACTCTGGCAGCTCGATACACCTCTGCCTCTACGGGGATAAAAGGTGTGTGCCACCACCTCAGGCATGGAAGAGGGAATCTTAAATGAGAAAATGTCTCCATAAGTAGAATTAGCCCACAGGCCAGTCTGTAGGGCATCTTTATGATTGATGTGGGACGATCCAGCTCATTCTGGGTGGTGCTGCTTCGGGAGGTGGCCCTGGATGTTATAAGAGAGCAAGCTAAGCAAGCCATGAGGAGCAGGCCAGAAAACAGCATTCCTCTAGGGCTTTTGCTTCAGTTCCTGGCCTGACTTTCCTCAGAAAGTATAACTTGGGAGTTGTAAGATAAAATAAGCTCTTTCTTCCTCAAGTTCTTTTTAATCACAGTCTTTTATCACAGCAATAGAAACCCCAACTAAGACAAAAACAACTGATGTTAGTGTTCAGACATTAAGTAGTACGAGATAAAATAAAAATTGTTCACTTGGTTAAAGTATATAAATGATCACTTAATAAAAACTTAGTACAAACTTTGTGTCACTCCTAAATGAACTACTATGTTTCTGTTTTGTTTAGTCTGAGAAAAGGTAGCCCAGGCTGGCTTTGAACTCATAACAACCCTCTAATTTCCCAGCTTCAGTCTCCTGAATGCCAGGGTAACAAGATATGTGTTACCATACTCACCCAATCTACATTAACAACTTTTGTTTTGTTTTTTTTTTTTTTCAAAACGGTTTCTCTGTATTGTTTTGGAGGTTGTCCTGGACTCACTCTGTAGACCAGGATGGCCTCGAACTCACAGAGATCCGACTGCATCTGCCTCCCCAGTGCTGGGATTAGAGAGTGCTGGGATTTAAGGCGTGCACAACCAACGCCCAGCAACAATTTTTAATCTACAGTAACAGTTTTGTTTTACCTTTTTTTTTTTTTTGGCCTTTTAGTAACCTTTGTAAACACCAAGTCTGGAGAAGTATAGCCGGCCAGCTCCCAAGCACAATATAAAAGAAGTTGTATGGCAAGCACCACCCTTCAGTGGGCTATTGGCAGCCTGCATGAAGTCCACCATTCCACTCAGACTCATAAATATTCCAGAGCTGTGATTCCTCTTTGAAAGTTCAGAATATAGTTGTTTTTGTTTTGAGAGGGTGATGGGTTAGGGATTACATACACTGAAGTCTTTTTCCTGGGCAGCCCACTTTGTACATCATTCCAAATGGTAACACCTTTTACTTACTTCAGAAATAATGTTCCCATACTTTACACAATATAGTCTTGCTCTGCAGTCACAAGGCGTCAGTCAGTCTGTAATCTGGGTGCTTTTCTTGAACAGAAAGAGATGCTTAATGAAGGGCCCCTACAGGTCCTCTCCGCCTCAGGAGTTCTGTACTGATCTCTTCCTTTTCCCAGGAGACTCGACCTACCCCATCTCAGCTCGACTGATTGCTCACACTTTTCGCCATATCAGCCATTCTTGACCATCCCAGTCACCGATACCACCATGTCGCTTTTTCTCCACCTTACCCTAGCTGAAACGACACTCCTTGTCTACGCGCGTCTCGCGCTCTCTCCTGAACGCTATCCAGCAAAGGCGGGGGCTGGGCTGGGGTGGGGGTGTCTTGCTTTGCCCTGGAACTCCAGCAGAAACCTTGCTTGCTAAGCGAATGAATGACTGCCGTGCGCACTGCCCGAGCCCCGTCCTTCCGGGAGAATAGCGAGGAGAAGCTTCTCCTCAAGGTCACACGGCCGCGTGGGCCGGTCCCTGCAGCCGGACTCCACGCCTCCCTCTGTCCCGGACCCACAGTCTCACCTCCTCCTTCAGGTAGTCAAATTTCATGGGCTCAGGCTGCCGGGCTGCCCAATTCTTCTGCTTCCTTTTCAGTTCCCGGTCGAAGATGTTTAGGGCTCTGGGCGAGGTGCCGCCCGTAGGAGGGACACCGGAGGCTACCTCCCTACGACTACCGCAACCGGCGGGAACCGCAAAGCCCCCAAGGCGCGGGCTTAGGCGCCGAAGCACGGCCGGTCGCAGCATCTCTAGCTGCCGGCGCCACAGCGGGGCATAATTTCTAATGTGCGCATGCCCCGGTGGGACTACGGCTAGCACAATGACACAAAATTGTACCAGGAGGAAAAGCACAAGGCTGAAGAAGTTTGGCCTAGATCGCGTTCCGTGTCGGCGGAGCGTCCCGCAAAGGGTTATGGGTGTGCGTTCCATGTGAACTCAGACCGGGATCCGGGTGCAGAAGTGCCGAGCGGTCTGGTTCTCCGACGGGAGCTCCTTGGGATTTGTGAGTAGTGCGCCTGTCGCTTGGTCCCTTTCTGGCCTCGTTCTCTTCGGGGCTGCCGTGCGAGGGCAGCTTTCCCCGAAGGTTTGTGAGGTGGGAGGGTCGTTCCGGAAGCCCCGCGCGGGCCCGAGGATGGTGGACCGACCGTAGGGATGCGGGGAAGCGCTTGCGGGGCGGTCACGATGCTTTCGCTCCTCCGAACGCCCCTCGCTGGTCGAGGGCTTCAGTTCCCGACATTTACACACATTATCTCTGGTCGTTGGGTGGGGTGGTGCTTATGTCGGGAAGCAGTTCAAAGGGTAAATGCTGTAACAAATCTGAGATTTGTAAGCGCATCCGTGAAGGTTTCTGTTTCTCTCGCTAGACTGTAAGGGGCTTTGAAGTAAAGCAGCCCTGGCCTATGTGATGGCAGCGCACACCTGGAATCCCAGGATTGAGGCAGAGACATAATTACTGCCCTTCGAGGCTGGTGCAGCCTGTGGTAATGACGGACTGTCGTAGAAGTGTTTGGTCAGTCAGCTTTTAATCTTTTCAGAGACTTCTGACTTTTCTGCAATGTTGAATTCTGGAGGAACCAAACCCTCAGAGGCTGTTTACAAGGGAACAGTATGCATTTGTACAACATTTGTGTGTTTTCATATGTTTATATAGGATTAGCCTGTCTAGACCTCAGTCACTTCGAGAATTAATGTTATAAGAGAGTGACATTTGGTGGTTAAGAGCACTGGTTGCCCTTCAGAGGACCTGCATTCAAGTTCCAGAACCCACATGAAAGCTGACGGTCTGTGAAACAAGTTCAAGGGATTGGAACTCCGTGGGTACCAATCACAGAAGTGGTACTCTTGTATACAGGCATACCACCCATACTCATGAGAATTTTTTTTTAACTATAGCATCCTGGTTTTATTTTTTTAAATTTTTTAACTTTTTTTATTTTTAATAGTTTGTTTTACATGTCAATCCCAGTTCCCTCTCCCTCCCCTCCTCCCGCACCCCCTTTTTAATAAAACCAAAGTGACATTTATTAACTGTAGTGTATGCTCTACTTTGCTTCTTGATAGAAGGATTAACAGAATGAGATGAATATGGTTTGAATTCCCCACCACCACCATTAGTTGGGAGACAGATTTTTTAGAACTGGCAGCTTTTGAAATATAAAATAAAGAGTATCAAAGAGAATAGAACGAGAGTATAAAAAACAAATGAGACCAACTGAGATTTGAGAATCTTGCTTTGTTTTCCTGTGTGTGTTGCCTGTACAGTTGCTCACACCAGGCCGCGTGCCCCTCACTTCTGTGTTCGTATGTTTGGGAGGATGTTTGCTCTCCACCTTCTTTTTTGAGAAGGGATCTCTCATTGGAGCCTGAAGCTACTCAAGGAAGCTACATTGGAGGACCAGGGATCCTCCTGACTCTGGCTACCCAGCCACCCAGCACTTGGAATACAGGTTATTTTTTTTAATTTTTAATTTTTAATTTTTTTTTGGTTTTTCGAGACAGGGTTTCTCTGTATTGTTTTGGAGGCTGTCGGTCCAGCCTGGCCCCGAACTCACAGAGATCCGCCTGCCTCTGCCTCCCGAGTGCTGGGATTAAAGGCGTGCGCCACCACCGCCCGGCGCATGCAGGGTTTTTAATGTGTGTTCTGTAGGGTGAAATCCATACTATAGTTAGGCAGCAAGCACTTCACTGACTGAACTTTCCCCCAAGCATCAGTCTTGGTTTCTTGAAACAGTCTCACTATGGAGCCCAGGCTAATCCAAACTCCCTGTGTAACTATGTAAGGTCTGGTCTCAAACTCACGATAATCGTGTCTCTGCCTTCAGAATCCTGGTTTTACATGTGTGTGACTACATGCCTTAGTAATCTTTTAATCGATGATGAATACAATCTAGAAATACAGAAATTGAGGGTAATCAGCTGCCTTAGGATTCTGTTTGCTTTGTCTTAAATTTATTTAAAGTGATCTGTAAGGTGAGGACTCTATTTTGTTATTTTTTTATGTTTGACCCAAAATAGGTTGGGTAACTGAAATTAAGCTTAAGTTTCTTTAATTTTATGTGCATTTAGAGAGAGTATGTGAGTGTACATGTGTGGGCATGTAGGTGATCAACAAGTCTGGTTTTATTTTTTTTTAAATTTTTCCTTTTCTTAATTCAAAATTAGAAACAAGCTTGTTTTACATGTCAACCCCTTATCCCAACCCTTTCTACTCTCCGGGGAGGGTGAGGTCTTCAGTCGGGGAATCTTCAAAGTCTGTCATATCATTTGGAGCAGGCCTAGATCCCCACCCCCACCCCTGTGTGTGTCTAGGCTGAAAGAGTATCCCTCTATGCGGAGTGGGCTCCCAAAGTCCCTTCCTGTACTAGAGATAAATACTGATCCACTACCAGATTGCCCAGGCCTCCTAATTGGCATCCACATTCAGGGGGACTGGATCAGTCCTATGCTGGTTTCCCAGCTATTAGTCTGGGATCCATGAGCTCCCCCTTGTTCAGGTCAGCTGTTTCTGTGGGTTTCTCCAACCTGGTCTTGACCCCTTTGCTCATCTCTGCAACTGGATTCCAGAGTTCAGGTCAGTGTTTAGATGTGGGTGTCTGATTCTATCAGCTACTGGATGAAAGCTCTAGGATGGGATATAAGGTAGTCATCAATCTCATTATGAGGGAAGGGCATTTAAGGTAGAATCTCGACTATTGCTTAGATTGTTAGTTGGTGTCAATCTTGTAGATCTCTGGACATTTCCCTAGTGCCAGGTTACTCTTTAAAACTGTATTGGCTCCATCTATTATGGTATCTCTTTTCTTGCTCTCCTTTTTCTCCCCGTCTCAATCTTCCTGCTCTCCAATGTCCTCCTCTCCCCTCCTCTTCTCCCCTTCTCTTTCTCCTAACTCCCTCCCCTCTCCCCCCATGCTCCCAATTAGCTCAGGTAATCTTGTCCCTTTCCCCTTCTCCAGGGGACAATGTATGGCTCTCTTAGGGTCCTTGTTTCCTGTCTTCTCTGGCGATGTGGAGGTAGTCCTTTGCTTCATGTCTAAAATCTGGGAAATGAATAGTACTCCATTGTGTAAATGTACCACATTTTCTCCATCCATTCTTCAGTTGAGGGGCATCTAGGTTGCTTCTAGGTTCTGGTTATTACAAATAATGCTGCTATGAACATAGTGGGACAGACATCCTTATTGTATGAGTGTGTATCTTTTGAGTATATGCCTAAGAGTAGAATTGCTGGATCTTGTGGTAGGTTGATTCCCATTTTCCTGAGGAATCGCCATACTGATTTCCAAAGTGACTGTATGAGTTTGCACTCCCACCAGCAGTGGAGGAGTATTCCCCTTTTGATACATCTTCTCCAGCATAAACTATCATTGGTGTTTTTGATTTTAGCCATTCTGACAGGAGGAAGATGGTATCTCAGAGTTGTTTTGATTTGCATTTCCCTGATTGCTAAGGATGTTGAGCACTTTATTATGTGTCTTTCAGTTATTTTAGACTCCTTTATTGAGAATTTTCTGTACCCTTTGGTGTTTTGGAGACTTGCTTCTTGAGTTCTTTGTATATTTTGAAAATCGGCCCTTTGTCAGATGTGGGGTTGGCGAATATCTTCTCCCATTCTGTGGGTTGCCATTTTTATCCTTTGCCTTACAGAAGCTTCTCAGTTTCAGGAGGCCCCGTTAATTAATTGTGGGTCTCAGTGTCTGTTATGTTCAGGAAGTAGACTCCTGTACCAATTCGTTCAAGGATACCATCAAGTTTCTCTTCTAACAGGTTCAGTGTGGCTGGACTTATGTTGAGGTCTTTGATCCATTTGGACTTAAGTTTTATGCATAGCTATAGATATGGATCTATCCACATTCTTCTATATGTCAGCATCCAGTTATGCCAACACTGTTTGCTGAAGATGCTTTCTTTTTTCCATTGTATAATTTTATCTTCTTTGTAAAAAAAAATGAGGTGTTCGTAGGTGTGTGGGTCCATATCAGGGTTTTCAGTTTGGTTCCATTGGTCTACCTGTCTATTTTTGTGCCAATACCAAGCTGATTTCAGGACTATAGCTCTGTAATAGAGCTTGAAGTCAGGGATGGTGATGCTTCCGGTCTTACCTTTATTGTACAGAGTTGTTTTTGGCTATCCTAGGTCTTTTGTTTTTCCATATAAAGTTGAAAATTATCCTTTCAAGTCTGTGAAGAATTGTGCTAGGTTATTGATGGAGATTGCATTGATGGCAAGATTGCCATTTTTACTACGTTGATCAACTATCCAAGAGCATGGGAGATCTTTCCATTGTCTGGTGTGTTCTTTAATTTCTTTAAGGCTCAATGTTCTTACTTTACAGTTCTTTCACTTGTTTGTTTAGCATTACTCAAAGATATTTTATGTTATTTGTGGCTATTGCAAAGTGTGATGTTTTCTGATTTCTTTCTCAGCCAATTTATCTTCGGTATATAGTAGGACTACTGATTTTTTTTATTTTATTATTTTTTTTAGTTAATCTTGTACACTGCCACTGTGCAGAAAGTGTTTATCAGCTGTTGGAGATCCCTGGTAGAGTTTTTCAGGTCAATTATGTAATCTATCATATCTGCAAATAGTGAAAGTTTGACTTTTCCAATTTGTATCCCCTTGATCTCCTTTTGTTGTCTTATTGCTCTAGCTAGAATTTTAAGTACAATATTGAAGAGATATGGAGAGAGTGGACACCCCTGTCTTGTTCCTAATTTTAGAGGAATCGCATTAAGTTTCCCTCCATTTAGTTTGATGTTGGCTGTTGATTTGCTGCATATTACTTTTATTGTTTAGGAATGTTCCTGTTATCCCTGATCTCTCCAAGCCCTTGATCATGAAGGGGTGTTGGACTTTGTCAAATGCTTTTTCAGCATCTAGTGAGATGATCATGTGATTTTTCTTTTTCAGTTTGTTTATATGATGGATTTTCATATATTGAACCATCCCTTCATCTCTGGCATGAAGCCTGATTGATCGTGGTGAATGATTTCTCTGATGTGTTCTTGGATTCAATTTGCCAGTATTTTATTGAGTATTTTTGCATCAATGTTCATGAAGGATATTGGTCTGTAGTTCTCTTTCTTAGTTGTGTCTTTGTGTGGCTTAGGTACCAAGTTTATTGAAACCTCATAAAAAGCGTTTGCCAGTGATCCTTCTATCGTGTGGAATACTTTGAGGTGAATTGGTATTAGCTGTTCTTTGAATTATTTAAATTCCTGGTAGAATTCTGCACTGAAGCCCTCTGTCCCTTGGCTTTTTTTTTTTTTTTTTGTGAGACATTTGATGACTGCTTCTATTTCATTAGGGCTTATAGATCTATTTATATTGCTTATCTGTTCTTGATTTAATTTTGGTAAGTGATACCTATCCAGGAAATTGTCCATTTCCTTTAGATTTTCGATTTTGAGGAGTACAAAATTTCCTCAGTGTCCCTTGTTATGACCCACCCCCTTTTCATTTCTGATTTTGTTAATTTGCATGTTCAATCTGCTTTTGGTCAGTTTGGTTAAAGGTTTGTCTACCTTGTTGATTTTTCTGGAAGAACTAATTGTTCATTACATTGATTCTTTGTATTGTTTTCCTAGTCTCTACTTTATTGATTTTAGCCCTTGATTTGATTATTTCCTGGAATCTATACCTCCAGGGTAGCTTTGCTTCTTTTTGTCCTAGAGCTTTCAGTTGGGATGTTAATTCTCTAGTGTGGCTATTCTCCAGTTTCTTCATGTGGGCACTTAGTGCTATGAACTTTCCTTTTAGCACTGTTTTCAAAGTGTCCCATAAGTTGTGGTATGTTGTGTCTTCATTTTTACTGAATTCTAGGAAGTCTTTAATTTCTTTTTTGATTTCTTCTTTGACCCAGGAATGGTGTAATTGTGCATTGCTCAATTTCCATGAGTTTGTAGGTTTTCTGCAATTTATGTTGTTGAATTCTAACTTTAAAGCATGGTGGTCTGATAAGATACCAGGGGTTATTCCAATTTTTTTGTATATGTTAAGGTTTGCTATGTTGCCAAGTATATGTGGTCTATTTTAGAGAGGGTTCCATGTGGCACTGAAAAGAAGATGGTATATTCTTTTTTGTTTGGATGGAATGTTCTATAGATGTCTGTTAAACCCAATTTTGGTCATAGCTTCTGTTACTTCCTTTGTTTCTTTGTTAAGTTTCTGTCTGGTGGTCCTGTCCAGTGGTGAGAATGGGGTGTTGAAGTCTCCCACTGTAGGTATGTGAGGTTTTAGTTGTGATTTGAGTTTTAGTAATGTTTCTTTTATAAATGTGGATGCCTTTATATTTAGACATTCAGAATTGATACTTCATCTTGATGGATTTCTCCTCTTTGATCAATATGAAATGACCTCCTTCATCTCTTTTGATTGATTTTAGTTTAAAGTCTAAGTTTTTAGTTATTAGGATTGCTACTCCTGCTTTTTCTTGGGTCCATTTGGTTGTAAATTCCTTCCCAACCCTAAACTCTGAGGCACCGTTTGTGTTTGAAGTTGACGTGTGTTTCTTGTATGCAGCAGAAGGATGGATTCTGTCTTTGTATCCATTCTGTTAGCCTGTGTCTTTTTATATGCGAACTAAGACCATTAATATTGAGGGATATTAATGATCAATGATTGTTTATTCTTGTTTGTTTTGGATTTGGTGGTGGTGGTGGAATTGTGTGTGAATTTCTACCCCTTTTTCCTTTTCCTTTTGGCCGTTGGTAAAGTGGGATTATCTATGGCCTATGTTTTTCTGGTTGTAATTAACTTCCTTGGGTGAGAGTTTTCCTTCCAGAACTTTCTGTAGGGTTGAATTAGTAGATATGTATTGTTTAAATCTGGTTTTGTAATGGAATATCTTGTTTTCTCCATCTGTAGTGATTGAAAACTTTGCTGGGTATGGTAGTCTGGGCTGGTATCCGTGGTCTCTTAGTGTTGGTAGACCATCTATCTAGAACCTTCTGGCTTTCAGAATTTCCATGGAGAAGTCAGGTGTAATTCTGATAGGTTTGACTTTATATGTTACTTGGCCTTTTTCCTTAGCTGCCCTTAATATTCTTTCTTTATTCTGTATGTTTAGGGTTTTGATTATTATGTGGCGAGGGAACTTTTTTTGTGGTCCACTCTATTTGGTGTTCTGTAAACAGCTTCTTGTACTTTCATTGGCGTGTCTTTCTTTAGGTTGGTCAATTTTTCTTCTATGATTTTGTTGAATATGTTTTCTGCACCTTAAGATGGGTTTCTTCATCTTCTCCTATGCCTATTATTCTTAAGTTTGGTCTTTTCACGGTTTCCCATATTTCCTGGATATTTTGTGTTAGGGATTTGTTGGACTTAAGATTTTCTTTGGTTGATGAATCTATTTCTCCTTGTGTATCTTCAGTGCCTGAGATTCTCTCTTCCATCTCTTGTATTCTGTTGGTTATTCTTCCATCTGTAGTTCCTGATATTTACCCATCTTTTCTGTTTCTAGCATTCCCTCAGTTTGCGTTTTCTTTATCATCTATCTCTATTTCAATTTTCTAGGCTGTTTCCTTCATCTATTTGGTTGTTTTTCTTGGCTTTCTTTAAGAGATTTGTTGATTTCCTGTAACTTTTGGTTTGTTTTTTCTTCCTTTTCTTTAAGGGATTTTTTTCCTACTCTTTGAGGGCCTCTATCATTTTCTTGAAGTTGTTTTTAAGGTTATTCTCTTCTGCTTCATCTGCCTTGGGATGTTTAGGTCTTGCTCGTGTAGAGTCCTTAGACTGGTGGTGTCATACTGGTTTTTCTGTTGTTGGATGTGATTATATATTGTCTTTTTACCATTCTTTTTTCCTTTGGTGCAGGAGGAGTCTCTTACTCTCCTATTGGATACGGGTTCAAGGTTCCCTTTCGGTGGGTACAAGCAGGTCCAATACTGCTGAATGCTGTCCTCTTCCCGTGGGTGGAGGCCTGTCTAATATGGGAGCCTTGGCAGTCTCTGGGTGGGCTGGACCGCCAGCATGGGATCCCCAGTGCACAGTCCCCAGTTCTCAGGAGGCTCCGAACAGGGCACAGGAAGGAAGGCCGGAAACAGGCCCATGCTTATCTCATCCCATGGGCAGAGAAAGGGACTAGGACACTGGCAGTCTCTGGGTGGGCTGGACTGCCGGGATGGGATTCCCAGTGGGCAGTCCCCAGGTATCAGGCGAGTCTGAGCCTAATTTTTTATATTTTAATTGTATTATTAACCATTCATCATTGTAATATTTGTTTTATTTTTTAGTGTTTGGTTTTTCTGGATATTTCTTCAGTAAGACTTTAAAAATGTCATCCAAACAAGAAATAATGAATGACCAGCGGTTTAAGCGAGTTTCAAAGGATCCCAGATTTTGGGAAATGCCAGAAAAGGACCGAAAAGTCAAAATTGACAAGAGGTTTCGGGCCATGTTTCATGACAAAAAGTTTAAATTGAGCTATGCTGTTGACAAAAGAGGGCGCCCTATCAGCCACAGCACTACGGAAGACTTGAAACGCTTCTATGACCTTTCAGACTCTGATTCTGATCTTTCTGATGAAGAAAGCAAAGTTCTGAACCAAAAGAAAGCAAAGCAGAAAAAAAAACAGACCGGAAAAGAAGTGAAGTCAAAAGTGCTGAGTAAGGAGAAAAAGAAAGAAACCCAAAAAACTGATCAAAAGGATCCTATAAATAAAAATGAGTTAGATAATTCTGAAAGTATTCAGAATATGAAAAACTTGTATAAATCTCAGAAGATAGGTTCAGAGGTAAGTCCCAAGAAGGATAGTGAAGAATTTCTGCAAAATACAAAAAGGAAAAAGAACACTGACCACAGTGTAGACTCCTTATATAAAGGAAAACCAAGGACCAAAGATTCCAGTACTTCTGAAATTGTGAAATCTCCAACAGTCACTTGTTCTAAGGCAAAAAGAGAAAAGCAATCAGGTTAGTTGGGAGTACTGATTATTCTGTATTCACTATTTTACTGTTATCTTTTAAAGTAAGCAGTTATTTTTGTAGTATGATGAGAACAGTCAAATGTTTATTCTAAAATATAAAGCTATGAAAGAAACAATATGCAATGATTTCTTCTTGATTTAGTACCAGAAGACAAACATGAAAGCTTGGGTAAATGATATTGGTTTCTAGTGAACAATGCTGAGAGCTGCTGTAGGTTGATATAGGAAGAAATGTGTTTGAAGAAGGTAAGTAGAATTGGGTTTTCATTCATTTAGTTCATTGAGCTACTGAGAGACAACCACTATAAGGCATGGTCCTCTCCTTTAGTGTTGTTGCTAGCTTATGTGATGCCTTTTGCAAATTAAAATAATCACATGTCCTCTGATCACAGACACAGCGTTTTCTGGGGTTCATAGTTTGGAGAAGATGGCAATTTTGAGTGAAGCAACATGTTCATTTCCTTTGAGCAATCACAGCATCTGCAGAGTGTATGAATTGATGATGGAGATTAGATTTGATCTTAGCTCTTCTTTCACTGTTGTAGATGCCCTTAGACAGATACCTGATAAATTCTATATGATGACCCTGGTCTAGTGACACTGTCCACTAGAAATACATAGTAATGAATTTCCTAGTAGTGGCATTAAAAAGGAGAATAAACAGATGAATAATTTTATTAATTATATCCAGTAAATACAAATTTAATTTCTAGGTAATTATTGATAAGAAATTGATACTTTTACATTCTATTTTAGTTGCATCATATTTCAAGTGCTAAATTGTCTCCTTTGGCTGTTAGCTATCATATTGGACAGCACAGACCTAAAGTAGAAAAGTCAAACCTGTAATAAAAAGTATTGTAGCTGTAAGTGAGATTGAAAAAAATTCAAAAGTGGCTACTCAAAATAAAATGAGAAAAATTTCTAAGGGATACACTATTTGTATTGGGATTTGGGGGTGGTGGTGGTTCGGGTTAAGTTTGAGGACCAAAGAACTTTTTGAGCAAATTTGGGACTGGATTTATGTAGATCAGTAGTCCCATTCTGTTAGACAGTAAAGTCTTAAAGAGGTTTGTAGTTTTGAGCCGAATGGTATCTGATACATCTTACTATAAATACCTCCCTGTATCTTGGCATGCTGATAAATCCCAACAGTTGGAAGATAAGTCACAAGGATCAGGAGTTCTAGGTCATCCTCAGCTATATAATGATCTTGAGGCCAGTGTGAGTTACATGAGACCCTGTTTTAAATTAAAAACAGGCAAAATGGCTCATTAGGTAAAGATGCTTGCTGCTCAAGCCCTGCAACCTGAGTTTGATCCTCAGCATCCATGTAAAGGAGGAAGTAGAGAACTAACTACACAAAATTTTACTGACCTCCACACATGACGTGTGTGCCTCCTCCCCACCCCCATGCACAAGCACATCATGCTCTGACATGCAAACAAATTTTTTTTAAAAAGCTGTTTGTTTGTTTGTATGTGTATATATGTACTATGTAGGTCAAAGAAGAGGGCATTGGATCCCCTGGAACTGAAGTTACAGGTGGTTATGAACCACAGTGTGGGTGTTGTCAACCAAACCAAGATCTACATGGTCATAACCACTGAGCCATCTCTCCAGCTCCCATGTAGATAAGTTTTTTTTGGTTTTTTTTTTTTTTGGTTTTTTGAGACAGGGTTTCTCTGTATTGTTTTGGAGGCTATCGGTCCAGCCCAGCCTCGAACTCACAGAGATCCGCCTGCCTCTGCCTCCCGAGTGCTGGGATTAAAGGCGTGCGCCACCACCGCCTGGCTGTAGATAAGTTTTAATGCCTCAGTATGGTGCGTTAAGTCATAAATTCATTAATCAGTAATTTGTTTGTGAGCCTATCAAGGGCATAAGAGCTTACAAATTCCCCCTTTTACCTTCCCCTAATTCAATGTTTTATATATTGTGGACAATAAAGTATTGGATTAATGAATAAATCTTATAAAAACATAGTTTTAAATTAAAAACAAATTCATTCCTCATTTTTTTAGATGTGGAATGGTTAGTAGGGTAAGGGAGGAGGGAGAGAGGGATAGAGAGAAAAGGAGAGAGTGACCTGCCTCTTCAGACAATGGCAGAAAAGATCATTCTTCATCTTAAGTTTTAAAATTTACTTTTCATTCTCCAAATTAGATCCTCTTGAGTAAGCTGAAACAGGAATACCAGCTTAAACATGGTACATAAGATATTCACACATGCAGAGGTGATTGCTTTTAGAAGTGGGATCCGAGCGAGCTCTTTCAGTTTTGAAAGAAAAGTGAAATCCTAGTTAAACAAAACATCTTGGTATGTAGTTAACTAACAGTTATAAAATGTTAGAGTTAGCAGAGAAATTTTTAGTTATTGTTTCTATTTGGTGATATCATTCATAATGCAACTTCTTTTGTCAGTTATATATAACTAAGCACCTTGCCCCTGTATCAAGGCTGAGCAAGGTATCCCACCATAAGGAGTGGGCTCCAAAAAAAGCCAGTTCATGCCCCTGGGATAGGTCCTTGTGCCACTGCCAGCCCCCCCCCCCCCCCCAACAGATCAAGTCAAGTAACTGTCACCCACATTCAGAGGTCTAGTTCAGTCCTGTGCAGGTTCTCCAACTGTAATTGACAATTCTTTACAGATGCTTTTCCTACTGTTTGGAACAAATCTTCATCAGTTTTCTCGTTTTCCTCTTCATCCTTTAATTAGCTGCTGAGTAACCACACTCTTGGAAACGTAATGCTTGTAGAGTAGTTTGATCATACGTGTGTGCATATTGATTTGATTGCTTAATACTTGTTACTTATTCATTCAACTGGAAATTAATTAATAACTTTTTTTCCCAATGGTTGTATATTAAAAACCACAAAGCAGGTACTCCATGAATACTAAATGAGTATATAAGCACACTTACATCATCTTATAAATGTTATGATTTCAGTTAACTTGTTTTAGAATGAATTTTACTGAACTTATGTTCCTTTCCTCTGTTTTGTAAATATTATATTTATAGTACTTAATATCAATAATTTGGATTTAACTTAATTCAGTATGTGTGTCTCCTTTCTCCCTCCCCCAACATGCTATAGTGCTTCCAGTTATAATGGCAAGAGCTGATGATGGTAACATGCTTGACAAAGATGCCCTGGAGGAAGAGTCAGACACTGGTAGAGAAATAGGAAGTGATGAGGAATCTGAAGATGAAGTCACAAGTGATGATAGAACTTCAGCTGATGATGATGAGAATGAAGACAATGAAGAAGAGGAAGATGAAGATAGTGAGGATGAGGATGAAAGTGACAGTGGTCCTGATCTTGCAAGGGGTAAAGGAAATGTAGAAACTAGTTCTGAAGATGAAGATGATTTCACAGATTTATTTCCAGAAGAACCTGGTTTTGAACATGCTTGGAGAGAATTAGATAAAGATGCTCCTCGGGCTGATGAGGTAACATTTTCAGTAAATTATTTATGAATTTGCTGAGAGACCCTGTCTTTAAAAAACTAATGTGGAACCAGGTGTAATGACACACACTTGGGAGGCAGAGGCAAGTGAATCTCTGCGTTTCAGGCCAGCCTGCTCTCCATAGTGAGTTCCAGGACAGCCAGAGCTACATAGTGAGACCCTGTCCTTAAATATATATCATCAACAACATGGAGAGTGATCAAAGAAAACAAAATAATATGGACCTCCGTGTATGTGTTGATAATGGGAATGTTGACTTCTTCCTTTTCTGTAAGTATCCCTTAAGTCAGTGGTTCTCAACCTTCCTAATGATGCGACCCTTTAATTCAGTTCCTCATGTTATGGTGACTCCCAGTTACTGTAAAATTATTTTTGCTGCTACTTCGTAACTAATTTTGCTACTGTTATGAATCACAATGTAAATATTTTTGGAAATAGAGGGTTGCCAAAGGGGTAGCGACCCACAGGTTGAGAACCTCTGGCTTAAGTACTATTTTGAATCAGACTAGACACCATTATCTCCTTTTTGTTTTTAGAGGGAATGCTTTTATTTTTCCCTGTTTAGCGTAATGCTGCATATATATTTGTCATATACAGACTTTATTATTGAGAAATGTTCCTCCTATTCCTATTCTTGGGAATTTCATCATGAATTTATTTGATCTTTGTAAAGGTCTTTTGAGATAGCACCTTTCTATGAATACTTGGCTGGACTTGAGCTTGCTGTGGTCCTTCTGCCTGTCCTCTGGAGTGCTGGGATTTCAGCTATACACTGTCATGTTCAGCAAGAATTTCTACATAAGTCGTTTAAAATACATAAAATTTTATACCTGTTTTTCTAGGAGTTTGTATTTATGTTCTTATTGCATGGTGCTAAACTTGCTTTAAAACTGTTTTAGTTAAAACATCAGTTTGTGGTCACACCCTGGCTCAAGAACTCCAAAAAACAATATAGAGATAATGCTTATCTCATGTGGTTTTACTGTGGTTTACCTCACATGAAGCTCTCTCTGCATGTTAAATCAATTAAATAACAGATGATTTCATAAATGGGGAAAGACTATACTCATTATTTATCTCTTTTTTTCAAGCATTGAAAGTGATACAGATCCCAGCACTTGGGAGACAGAAGCAGGTGGATCTCTGTGAGTTCAAGGCTAGCCTGGACTGTATAGTGAGTTCCAGGACAGTGCTAGACTAAGTAGTGAGACCCTAAAAAAAGTACAGATTCTATAGTAATTAATAATACTTTAACTTTCTCAGATTACACGCCGACTAGCAGTTTGCAACATGGACTGGGATAGATTAAAGGCAAAAGATTTGCTGGCTCTGTTCAATTCATTTAAGCCTAAAGGAGGAGTTGTATTTTCTGTAAAGGTAAGAATTGATTTCATTTAAAGTAAATATTTCTAAGTGTTTTAATTTAAATCTAATTTTGTTTCTAATTAAACTGACTTAATTTTCCTTTTCAAAAAAATTTGTTAATCTGGAAATTGTTCAATGCATTTGATTATGAAACTGATGTAACAGTTATTAAAATGGGGGAAGCCAAGTATTTTTTTGGCTTTATATTTTAGTTTTGTGTGTATGCATGCATGTGTGTATAGAAGTTAGAGGACCCTTTTCAAAAGTGGGTTGTTTCTTTCCGAAATGGGTTCTCAACATGGAGTGCAAGTTGTTGTTCATGATGCTTTGTCTTTGTTCCTGTCCCTATCTATTATACTCTGGCCAAAATTACTTAAAGGAAATTCTTCAGTATGCTTTATGTTCATGTAGGTAGAAATGAGTTTTGCTTTCCTGCAGTGAGTTTGAAATGAGTTGTTCCAGCCAAATCATGACTCTTGATGTCTTAGTTTTGGCGGGTCTCCATATTATATGAAAAAGAATATGAATTATATCAGTCTTATTTTTTCTATGTTCAGATATATCCTTCGGAGTTTGGAAAGGAAAGGATGAAGGAAGAACAAGTTCAAGGACCAGTAGAGTTACTGAGTATTCCTGAGGATGCTCCAGAAAAAGACTGGTACTGACTCACTCTAGAATATAAAACTACCCTAATAAAGTTATGTACTTTACTCGGAATTCTGTTACTCTAGTAGGTCTGAGATTTGCACTTATACTAACACTAAGAATTCAGACAGCTTGGTTGATATCTGATTATAGTTGGTGGCACATTATGCTTAGAAATAATGATTGCAGTATTAGAAAAAAGTACAGTTCATAATTATTTTCATTGCTGTGAATTAGTTTTGTTTTACCTTCATATTATATTTTTAAGTATTAAATAGAAAAATAAAGGAATAAAAAGTGGTTTTACATTATAGAAAACAGTTTAAGTAGTTGTAAACCACTAGGTGGAGCTGCATGTACACATAACAAAAATGGTGGTTAACTGGATGGTAACGAAAGTGACAGAGGAAGAACTTCAAGGAACAGAGTATAGTTAAGTAAAATTAAGCTTATAAAGTTCAGATATTGGCTGACAAGATAGCTTAGTGGATAAAAGTACTTGTCATCTATTCTGACAACCTAGGGACCCAAATTCAGTCCCCAGAACCCACATGGTAGAAAGAGAAAACTAATTATTGAAACAGTTGTTTTCTAACCTTTTAATGGAGAGGTTTCTATGTTCTTGTATACATATGTTCAACTTAGTTTTTCCCCATTAGGGCCTCTAGAGAGAAGCTAAGAGACTATCAGTTCAAGCGATTGAAATACTATTATGCAGTAGTGGATTGTGATTCTCCTGAAACAGCAAGTAAAATTTATGAAGATTGTGATGGCCTGGAATTTGAAAGCAGTTGTTCTTTCATAGATCTAAGGTAATCTAGTTCATGTCTTCACAATTGAATCTTACAATATAGCAAGATCATATGCAGTAAAATATTTGAGCAGTGCTCTTACATTCTAGATAAATGAATAAGAAAAGCTAATAATAATTGAAGAAAAAGTAATTTATGAACCATTTCATTACTTGTGTCCTTGAAATTAGAATTCTTTCAAAAAAACATTTTTAAGATTTATTTTTACTTCATGTGCATGAGATCCCCTGGAATTGGAATTGGAGATGGTTGTGAGCCACCACATAGGTGCTAGGATTCAAACCTGGGTCCTCTGCAGAGGCCAACATGTACTCTTAACTGCTAAGCCATCTCTCCACCACCCCTCCCAATAATTCTTGATAAAATATATAATGGATGTATTTTATATGTATGTGGGAATAATCTACTGTGTAAATTATAAAAACCTGATTATAATAATCATAAATTATTTACCTCTGCTTTTCATCCCACATTCCCGAGCCTGATACCTAAAACTTGCCACTCACCATGGCTGATTAACATGTGAAAGCTAGCTATTTGTGAAATGAAACTTTTGGCTGAGATTATTCTTAATCAACCTTAAACTTTATTTTCAGTGACTTTCATCATTAGATACTCTGTGTTGAGACTACTTACCCAGTATTAATTCTCTATGGTCTTTGGACTCTAAAATGAGTGTGTTATTGCATCTGAGTCTTTGGAAGCTAGCTTATATTAACTAGTTCCTAATGCATTTTCTCTCTTTCTATGTAAGATTCTCTCAAATTTAATGAAATTTCATATTTATAGTTTACAAATTTCAGAGATGTGCCTAGGTTGTTTCTAGCATTTTAGAAATTTTTACATTTGTGTTGTGTAGAAATTTTTATAGAGTGTATAAACTATAATTCATTAGTAGAAAATCTAAACTCTGGCAATCACTACATTTTTGTTGGAATGAGTTTTTCTTTTGGGGTTTTTTGTTTTGTTTTGTTTTGTTTTGTTTAGGTTTATACCGGATGATACTACTTTTGATGATGAGCCCAAGGATGTGGCCTCAGAAGTTGATCTAACAGCCTATAAACCAAAGTATTTCACGTCTGCTGCAATGGGAACATCAACGGTATTTCTTAACTCTTAAAAATGTGTAGATGGGCCAAGCATGGTGGCACGTGACTGTAATCCCAGTACTTGGGAAGTTGAACAGGGATATCAGGAGTTAAGATTCAACCTGGGACACATGAGACCCTATGTTTAAAAGAAAGAAAAAAATATATAGCCAGACTCTTGTTTTTAGCAACTTTACAATTATATAGTTTTCTGAGTGTTTGTACGTTGAATACTACACTGTTTGAACATATTTTTCAGAGTGTTCTTTTGTCTTTAAACCTAGTCAGTTTGCTAATGTTTTGTAGGTTTTGGGTTTTTTGTGGGGAGGGGTTGTGGTTGTTGTTTTTCCTCTATTATTTTACCCATATACTTTCAGCTGTATTCTTTGGACCTGAGAATGTATTTCAGTGGTAGGATATTTGTCTTGCACATGTGGAAACGCTGGGTTTTATCTTAAGATTCTTTTAATAGGCAGTGTGTCAGTTATTAAGATCCTAGGGAATAGGAAGAATATAGCTTTACCTCAAGACAGCTACACAAAATTATTAACCATTTGAAATAGAAACATATTTTTCTACAGATGTGATTTTATAAGTTTTGTAAACAAAAAAACGAGAATGATTCAACATTGCTAGTTTGAATATTAGTAACAAGGTGTCAGATTTCTGTGTGTCACAATTGTTTGCTAAATAGTTAAATGGTTTCTCTCTTGCCCTAAGTCTCTGACTGCAGCAATACTCACTGTATAGTAGACTATTGTACTCTTCCAAGAAAGCTGGTGTCAGAGAGATACCTGCTTCCTCCTTGCTGTGGTATTCTGTTACTGATTACAGAGTGTAGTAAGATCCCAGAGTAAGTGAATTCTAAAAGATACAGCCACATCATGTTATTTTCAACACTTAAGCACTTATAATAGGCAACCTGTCTAGTCAACTAGCCTGGAGATTCTGCATCCTGATCTGCATCCCCAATATCTGTTCTCCTTACAGCAACCATTTGGTCATTATCAATACAGACTTAGTTATCAGAGTAGGGGTAACTGAGTCCTGAGACTGGCCAAAACTAAGAGTGACAAGAATATTTTAAGGATCTTGTCGTTAATTAGTGCCTAGCTCGTTGTCCCAATATGGAAAAATTGGACTGAACAGAAAAAACAAGGACTTGAACTCTTTCTGCTATAAATATAAAAATCTTTCACAGGGTACTGGATAAAGCAGTGGTTCTCAACCTGTAGGTTGTGACCCCTTTGGAGTTAAACAACTTTCACCAGTTTGACTAAGACATTGGAAATAAAAAGTATTTGCAATACATAATCCTAGCAAAATTACAGTTATGAAGTAGCAGTGGAAATAATTTTGTGATTGGATGGTTACCATAGCATATTAAACAATATGAAAGGGTCACAGCATTAGGAAAGTTGAGAACTACTGAAATATAGGAAAGGAACCAGTCTCCCTTGGTCATATTATCAATGAACTTACTTGCTGTAGAGCTTTGCTGTGCTTATGATCATGAAAACCTTTGTCATTGGTGACTCTTAATCTTTTTAGGAAAATAGCACCTGTTGAAATTATGTTCCTTTATTAACAGATTTCATGTAGTCTGTGACTCTACTGTCATTTTACTTCTTTAGAAGAAAATTATTTTCTCACTGGTTCATAATAGTATTAACTTTTTCTAGCATATTTTTTCCCATGACAGTTGATGTTTGTTCAGTAATATGCTCAATAATGGAATATCATTCATATAGCTGGGAATTAGGGGGAAGGTAAAAGTGGACACATGATTCTCTGTCCCCAAATAGAATACCATTTATTAATCATGCCATTGATGTATTTTTTAATGTGTCCAAGTCTGAACTTTTTTATGTGCATCATAACCTTTTTTGGGGGTGGGGGGAAGATCTCACTATGTAGCTTTGGCTGGCCATTAGCTCTCATATAGACCAGGCTAGCCTCAAACTCACAGAGATCTACCTCTACTTCCAAAGGCACGTGCCACCCATGCCTAGCATGCTTTTTTAACTTAATATTAAGCATCAAAGCTAACAGTGTGCTTTAATTAGTTTACCTTTGTGCTCTTTTCTTTTTTTCTTTCTTTTTTCTTTTTTTTTTTTTTTTTTTTTTTTTTTTGAGATGGTTTCTCTGTATTGTTTTGGAGGCTGTCCTGGAAATCGCTCTGTAGACCAGGCTGGCCTCGAACTCACAGAGATCCGCGTGCCTCTTTCTCTTGAGTGCCGGGATTAAAGGCATGCGCCACCACTGCCTGGCTTACCTTTGTGCTTTTGTGTGTCTTATTTTCATTCTTTGATTCAAGGTGGAGATCACTTGGGATGAGACTGATCATGAAAGAATCACAACACTTAACAGAAAGTTTAAAAAGGATGAACTATTAGACATGGACTTCCAGGCCTACTTAGCTTCCTCTAGTGAGGAGGAAGAGGAAGAAGTACCACAAGGTACGTGCTAATCCCTTTATTGTGTGGTTAATGGAACTACTTCTTGAACGCAACTTAAAAAGATCCCCAAACTGACTGTATAGCATACTTATATGCATAGAATTATATGCATAGATACATATTTGAAGGATTAGCAAGATGCTCATTGGATGAAACCACTTGCTGTACAAACCTAATGATCGGACTTTGTTATTCTTATCTAATAGAATTACCAAATATTAAAAACCATGAGGTCAGTGCTAACAGAAAATGAAAAATCATAAATGTTAAACATAGATAGAAGTATTTTAAATAATCAAGGAAGAATGTCTTTTTATATTTAACATTTTTCTTAGTGTTTTCCTTTTATGATATATTATTTCTATAACCTGGTGGCATATAAAATAATAAATAACATTTCTAGTTTTAATATAGGGTTGGTTATTAAGCCTTGACTTTCTTAGTTTCTGAATGATCTGTTTGTTTTTATGTCCCCAAAAGTACTGCTTTACCCTTTAGGTTTGCCATAAAATACTATTTTGCAATATTAATAAAAGGGAAGAAAAATCATGTTTAATAGCTTCTTTGTATTTGTAATCATTATATATTAATATAATCATATAATTGTTTAAGTGTTTCATATTCTTTGAATTGTATAGTTTTCAGGCTGGTGAGATTGTTCAGTGGGTAAAGGTTCTTGTTGCCAAGCCTGATGGTCTGAGCTTGATCCTAGAACCCACCCACCTTGTAGTAGGGGAGAACCAACTCTTAAAAGTTTTCATGGACAAGTATGCACACAATAAATAAATGTAACGAAAGCTTAATAAAGAGCGTATGTAATTTGCAGTGGTGCTTATTGGATATGCAAGACTTTGTATTTTAAGGTCTCAATGGCTGGTGCTTGTTAATCTTTCTCATGAACTTGAATGTTTTATTTCTTAGTGTACATAGCACAGACCTTTTATAACCCTCCCCCAAATAAAAATGATGAGTTTTGTCTTCATCTACCATAGGTTTGGAAAAGGTAAATTTATTTGCCTATGTGGACATGTGCTTTTCTAATGATTCTCAATAGTTTTCCTTTATTATAATTCTAAAATACAGGGGAAAATAGTATTCCATGTCCATTTGGGGAACGCTGGGTTCATGTGTTTCAAATAGAAAATGGAACTAAATTTTGTTTTGTTTTGTTTTGTGTGTGTGTGTGTGTGTGTGTGTGTGTGTGTGTGTGTGTGTGTGTGTGTGTGTGTGTGTGTAAATCAGAGGACAACTTGCAGTGCGGGTCCTGGGGATAAAAGTCATGTCACCAGGTTTGACAGCAGGCATCCTTCCTCTCTGAGCCACCTCACTCATCCTGCCTTGTAGGCACAGGGAATTGAGCCCAGGTCCTGTGGAAAAGCAGCTAGTGCTCTTACTCGATGAGTCATCCTTCCACCCACCCACCTCCTTTTAAATTTTAAAACAATATTATTAACAATAAGATTCCTAATGTTATCAGTAAGTAAGCATTAATGTTATCAGAAAATAACTATTAATTTTCTAGTATACTTATTATCTTGGACTCATTGGGGATATAGCTTAATGGTAGATTGTTTGCCAAGCATCATAAAACCCTATGTTCAACTTCAGTGTTGTAAAATAGGGGGAAAAAATCCAAAAAAAACAAACTTAGACCCTGCTGGTTTCAAACCTGAACACATAGTGAAAACAAGGGTCAAGTTTTCTTAGCACCCTGTTCCTTTCTTTGTGTAGCTGTGAAACAATAATTATGATAATATCTGGTTCATAGATTGAAATGATGTATATATTTAGCATAGTACCATGTATCAGGTATTTTTAATTCTTAAAAACTAAAGATATCTTTCAGTTTGAAATATGCTAATTATGTTTTTTCAAAAGCATTCCATTTTCTTCAGTCTTATAATTGATTGCAAACACATCTTAATCTTAATTTAGTGCCTTTGACTAGTATAGTTGGATATTAAACATTCCTGATAGTTGTATATAAGTGTAGCTCACTTTGTGAATTTATTTTTTAAAAATCTTATGTACTGTTAAGGCATTCATAAGATAGCCTTGAATTAAGAAGACCTACATAAGTTATCCTACACTTTAGCGCTTCAGAAAGAACAATTTTAGTACTGGAAAAAATCAATTTAAAGTAAGCCATCAGAGACTTACCACTAAAATTTCAACCTGGAAGGAGCTTGCTTCTAATTATGTTTTTAGAAGTAAGCTTTTAATAGAATGAAATACATTGCCATTTTGTTAATGTGTTCCTCATGTTTTATCCATTGAATTACGGGATACATGACAAAATTCCATCCAATATTATTATTGTGGCACAAAGCACAAACATCAAAAAAAAATGAACTTCAGCTGTGTGAGAGAAAATATAAAAAGTGTGATAGATTGATGGAAAGAATGCCTACAACCATTTTTATTATTTAGAGAGAAAAATAATTTTTTAATATTTAACCAACTTTTTTTCTTTCAAAAATCACCCTTTTTAAAGATATAAGAACAAGGTGTTAACACTGATGTTTTACAGTTCCATGCTTATATAACTGTTTTGCTCACCATAGGTTACAAAGACTGGAACGTCACGTATTGCTTGCAAACTTTCCTCCACTGGTGTATTTAATGAATTTGATAAGTTTGTGTGTTTCACATTAAAACCAAGATTTCTAAGTTATGTTACTGACTTGAAGAATTTACAATGAAACTGTGGAAAGACAAACTTTATGGTTTGATTTTCTCTGATGTTTGTTGCCCGTGAGATTTATACTGTTTCTTCACATCTTAATTTTTATGACACTAGAATTTAGAAATATCTATTGTCTTTCTACATGGCGAAAGTATTTGAATTAGCTCCTGGACTTTTTGCTTTGTTATTGATTAATGAACAACACTCTTAAGAGTAAACATGCTTATTCACAGTCAAATAGAAAAGACTTCACAGTCTTAGGCATGCTTCTAAACAACTTCCTTTGCCTCTTTCATGTGATCTGAGACGCTAATCCCATGTGTCAGATTCACTCCAGCAACATCCAGCCTTCTTTTAAAGTCACTGTGCTGATGACAAATGACAAATAGGAGGCTGAAATGTCACTCTTAGTGCTCTTGCAGTTTGCATAGAATGGGAATTCTGTATGGTACTCTCACAGTGCTAGTAATAACTTCATTGCCTCTGAGTTTTGCTGAGTACAAGACCGAAGTCTTTCTTTTCGTAGTCACAAGTTGAAGTCTAATTTCGTATTCTGTGATTGCAGGATTTCCTTGACAACACTTTTTAGCCATATACTGAAGAGATCATAAGACCTAAACACTAAAACTGCAAGGTAATTGCTTCTCCCTATTAAATGAGATTGATTAATTTCATTTTTGTTTCCTTTAGGTGAGGATGGAGTCAGTGTAGAAGATGGGAAAACAAAGAAGAATCAGAAGGATGATGAAGAACAAATTGCTAAATATAGACAGCTGTTGCAGGTTATTAAAGAAAAAGAAAAGAAAGGAAAAGAAAATGATATGGAAATGGAAATCAAGTGGGTTCCAGGTGAGAATTAGATATTAAGTAAAAGTTTCTTCACAATCATAAAGATGCTAAGACTTCTTTAGAAGTATACTTTTTCCCATATGAGATTCTTCCTTTTGTTTTTCCTTTATTTATTTGTTTATTTTTAATTAATTTATTGAATAGCTTCCCCAAATGGAAATATTAGGAAGGGGGCACAGGCACTTTCTGTGTCTTGAGGTTGCCATTAGATTTCTTGCCTGAAATGTTACATCAGTTTATAGTAACAGTGCTAGTGTCATGGAATTATCACTGTAAGGTATGTATGTACTTTTTACATTTTATTGTATGGAGTGAAGTTGGTTTTCATGCTAAACACCTCAATTTAAAATGTTTTAAAAGCTCTGTATAGACATATGTAATATAAATACTTAAATTGTGTGTGTGTGTGGTGTGTGTAGGTCACAGAGCAACTTGCAAGCATCATTTTTCTCTTTTCTATCACGTAGCTCCTCAGGATCAAACTCCATTTGTCATGTCTGGTGACAAGTACTTTTATCCACTGAGCCATTTTGTAAGCTCCTGGTAGGGTGTTTTTACTGTGAACACTTGTTATATGCATTCGTATGTGTGTATCTGAGTATAATAGTGAAACAGGTCTTTTTACATATTGTATGTAGAGCATGAGATAATTGAGCTACTCTTTCTGAACATTTGCCTGCACATTTGAAGAATGGGATTAATAATACTTATTTTTGAAGGCACATCTCATGCATGTGTATTACAATTACTATGAACTTCCTTCCATGATATTATATCTAAGTAAACCACAGAGGACCATGTATCATATGTATCATTCATTGGTTCTTCTGGGGCTTGGGTCTCAAATATTAAACTCTTCAGAAAAATAAGTCATCTTACTAATACTTATTTGAGTATCATGTGCCTTGTTATTTAAAGGAAACTTTTCTTTATGGTATTTAAACTTCTGTCTTTTTACATTGAGTATAATAGCATGTGGTGTTTGATCCCTGAAATTGTAAGTCCAGAGGGAAGTAGATAACAGGCCCAGTCGGATGGAAGCCATTTGTCCATGAACTTGACTAAGAGGAACTACTCTTTCTTTTGATACACAGTTCTTATGGAAATGTAGTAAATCAACCTTATTAACTAGGGTATGTAGAAACATTGACTAGAAGATACTTGAAAAAGCTATAATTCCTTATTTTTGTGTTGTGAAGTAGTATCTTCTACTAGATACTATTTCCTAAAGTTATAGTCCTGTCTGACTCTAAGATTGGTAGATACGGTGATGCATGTAACTAGCATTATCTGATGATCTAATTAGTGACTATCCCTCATTAGACAATTTGTAATAAACAGAAAAATTGTTTCTCTTACATAACTTTTCATATATTAATATACATGATGCTTAGAATAAGGAGATAGTAGATGGTATGGGTTGTTAACATGCATATTCAATGTTGAAAATGTTCAGAGCAAGAACCTGTCTTAAACAGAGTGAGCAGGGGGAGCAGGAGAGAGAGAGAGAGGAAGGAGAGGGCGATCGATTTTAAAAATAAAGTTGAGAGCACTGAGGAGGAGATCATCTCATGGACTGGAATTGGCAGTGAGTAGCAAGAAGGTTACACTCTGGGGGAGAAAAGTTCACCAGTTCATTTCTTAAAGGAATCCTTAAAGGCCACCATGTGTCAAGGAGACTCAAATTAGTGCTAATGGAGACAAAGGGGGTTTTGTTAATGGTTGAGTGTGACTGCTAACAAGTAAAAAGCAGTCTCTGAGGGAGAGTGGAAATTGAGTGTTCATTGCTCTTTTGGTTGATAATTGTGAAGCTGGAAATGATTTGTGAGAGATTTCGATGTTAATGCGGGGTAGAGGAGATTGTTTCCAAAGACTACACCATGGTAAAGCTATGAATGTCCTATGCCATTCCTGTTAGAAACACTTGTGATTGGAATCCTTACTCTTGAGAAGGAAGAGTGAAGTCCAGAGAAGAAACATCAACAAGAGCCCCTCTGTCTCACCCAGCAAGAGAGTTCCCTTTCCTTCCTGCCTTGGGCCACAGAGCAGGAGTACATCTCCTTTTCTCCACTCTGTCTTCCCTCCACTTTTCAAAGCAGTGTTCCCATTTTATTCTAGTGTCCGCTTTTAGCCTTGTGCTTTCCCCTGGTTTTCTTTGATCTCTGTTCTTTTGCTATCTTCCACAAAGAAGCTTACACAGACATCAGGGAAAAGCATATACGACTATTGAATTATTCATTCTTTATTCAGAAACAAGAAGTTTTGAATCAGTTGTGCATTCATTTTGTTAGGTAGCCCTAATCTTAACATGTCATTTTAAGACATCTTAAAATCTGTTCAGTATTTATTTTTGGCTATTTCTTTATTTCTGTTTACTGCCAATATACTCATTATTTGAAATATATTCACAGAGTGTTTTTTGCTCATAACTTTTTAAAAAGCCAAATATTTTAAATTTTGAGTTGAAGGCAAGGGATATAACTCAATAATAGAGTACGTATCTAGCCAGGCCCTGGGTTAAGTTCCTAGTGGCACAGTGGGGTTGTGGGCGAATAAGGGATGGGATATAACTCAGTGGCTGAGTACTTGTCTAGCTTGAATGAGTTCCCAAGTTTGATCCTTAGAACCACAAATCCATAAGAACTATCCAAATGCCATACCCAAAACAGCTAGCCTTGGACTGAGAAAAAAAGGGGGGCGGGGGTTGAGTTGAGAGGAATACCATCAAATGGAAAGCTTAAAAATTAGCTAAAAGGATTTGCAATTTGCTTCCTAGTTTGATGATGGAAAGGAAAGTTTATATGGTAACTGTGCAGAGTCACATAGCTGTTAGTTGATGAGACTTAAAGTTTAATCATCCTTGAGTCATTTAGTTAACCAGTTGACTAAGAAAACCTTGTAAGATGATATGCTAAAATTCATACTGTGGAAATAACATTTGAATCACTTGTGGACAGTATAATAAAAAAGAAGCAGGAGCTAGAAAGAAATAGTTCTGCAGTTAAGAGCTCTTACTGTTCTTACTGGGTTTAGTTTTCAGAACCCATGTGATGGTTCACAGTTGTCTGTAACTCCTGTTCCTGTGGCTCTGACACCATCTTCTGGCCTCCAAGGCTTCTGCCTAAATGTGAATCATGCATGCAAGCACACATAGATGCATAAAAATAATAATAAATAAATTTCATTAATAGTTAATAAAAATAGATAATTTTTAAAATGAGAAACAGTTTGAGTAATGTAAAAGTGTTTCTAGCACATTTTCTTTATAGAGTTGTGTAAAGGGAAGCTTTTTCCTTGAGAAGCCTTCCCGCCAGGCTGGTTTCTCCTTCCCAGAGTCCTTCTGGACTCCTCGTCCCACCTATCTAGATTCCTATTGGCCCAGCAGTGCTTTATTGACATAATCAAAGGATTTCCCACATCATCTCCTCTTTTCTGTCTAAACAAAAAGAAAGGTCTTAACTTTAATATAGTCAAATTATATATAAAAGAACAGTTATCAAGTAAGAACATAGTTACAATATTTTGTCTATCAACATTTAGCAAGATTTAAAGAAAATATCCATTCCATCCTTGTGAGTCTAAAGTTCTATATGTAGCTTATCTTTTATCGTAACTAAGGAAAACTATAACTATAACTATCTGTCTTCAACTCCATCAAAGACCACAGAAGGATAATATATAAACACTAGGATTGACAGAGACATCTTACTGCCTTGACAGTCACCCAAAGTTCCTCTGTATTGTCGGGGCATCCATCTTCAGCCCATAGGCCACAATGTGTCCAGAAGATTTCTCAGCAAAGCAGGAAATTTCAAACTGTCCAACTGCATTGGCAGTCTGTCAGTCATTTTTCTTTGTCCTGCAGAAAGTCTCGTAGACTCTTCCATGAAGTAGGAACCCTGTAAGACTGAGTTCAGCAGTCACTTTCCTGTGGGTCCTGCATGTCCAGATTATACAACAACAATCAAGCAGTCTAGGCAAGAGCAGTTTCTTGTCCAAATGGCTAATCTTGCCATGTTGAAAGCAAACTCCATAACGAGTCTTCGATGCCCATCTTCCTCTCAGACGTAATTGGTGCTGCCAGGAACAGACATTTCTCATTGTCAAGAAAAACCCTAACCCATTTTAAATGCCATTTTCTGAAAGTCTTTGAGAGGTTTGAAGACTATCTGTCTCAATTACATCTCTATATATCTAGAAAACCTAACTTACCTGACTATAAGTTCTGACTATTATAAGTAACTATCTATAATCTGTATTTAATTACGCATTACATTTTAAAAGATCAGTATAAGCACAATACTTAATCAAGAGGAGAAATATACATATCACAAAATTGACCTTGAATTTGTATCAATAAATGAAAAACCATAACCATACCATAATTCCCCTTTTTACCATTAAAAAGAGATTGGTTGTGATCATTAACCAATTATAAACAATCCCATTTAAATGAAAATAATGATTTGTAAACAGGATGGGAATTAGGACGTCGCTCATTCCAAACTGCTTCGTGCTGGAAGGGGCGCTGTTCATACCATGGGGATCATGAAAAAACTCAGAAACCTGTATAAGTCCTTATTTTCGGGTCTGTAAGACTCCATCATCTTAGCTGTTTCAATTGTTGGAACACCCGGCCCACTGTTTCCGGGGGTCTTGGTTCGTCAAACCACAGAAGCCTGGAAGGAATCCTCAGCTTTTCATTTCCTGTAGAAACATAAACAAAATCTCCTTTCCCAAGTAACATATCCTTATACTTAAATTTTGAAGTCAAGGTATTTTCAAAAGATATAAGTTGAATTAATTCAGCAGCATTTATAATCAAGTGTACTTTAGCAGTTCCTTCCTTAGCAATGAAAAACTGAAAAACACAATAGTGTACAGTATCCAGACTCTCTGTGTATTTTCCATCTTTACGTGGCTTATTTATTTATCTATTATTACTCTATTTCTTTTACTTTTATTTATTTTTCTTTGAGACAGGATTTCTCTTTGGAATA